AGTTATTATGTAGGCTTGTGTATGGTAGTAGTGTAGATGGTAGGCATTTTTGTGGTTGATCTTAATTCTGGTAGAGTTGACTTTCAACTCGGTAGATTTTCTAATCGGTTGGCGTTAATATTGGTAGAAATATAACTGGTTTACTTGCAATTGAGGCAGAAAAATTCAGATGGAAAATCAGAGAACAGCTGGATCGAAAACCAGTTCCAACATCTAACATCAGCGATGGAAGAAAAAGAGCTCTGAACGGTCTACGAAGAGATGACAACATCAAAATCCTATCTGAAGATAAGGGAAATGTTAGTGTTGTGATGGATGCGGATCTCTATGACCAGTTCTGTTCAACAGTGCATGATTAAATTTCCTTCTTCTTCTTGTTTTCTTGTTTTTTCAAATCATCATCGCCATTATCAGACATTCAAGAGTGGAATTTACGCTGTGCAGTGTAAATCCATCGTCCACTATTCATCTCTCCTCCTGTCATTATCCGTCATCCGTTAAACGATTTGTCTACCATGAATATGTTCACGTATAGATAATGCACAATCATCAGGACATTTCCGCTGAATTCTGAATGTAGGAGTCCACGTGAGCCCAATTATCGAATACCTACTTTTGTATAGTATTTTGTAGCCGAATTTTGAATCTGTTGAACTTCATGAATTTGTCGATTCTAGTGTATTTACGAAATGTGAAAGCGGAAATTGAGGTGGAAAATCACGAAATTCGCACAATTTCATTATCTGTCATTTCAATCTACGAAACAGCAACTCATACTCAAAATTGTAATATCAATATTCAATACTCAAGAATAAAGAACGGATCACTGACTGAAAGTTACCGTTCTCTTTTGCGATTAATGACTGAATAATAATAATAATAATAATAATAATTCAGTTAACTATTCCCAATCAACCCCCTTTTTCAGAATAATAATAATGTTTGTTTGAAGGTGATTGACAAAGTTTCCTGGTCCATTTCATCAGTTCGGACTTCCATTGTCTACTAAATAAAATGATTTGAAATCCCTGAAACAAGTAAAAAAGAATAATTAAAAAAGGATAGCTGAAAATAATGTTCATTTCATAAAATTGAATACATATACATATAAGCAAGAAGAAATTTAGAAATAACATGACAAATCACTGAAGCTCATAGAGCTTGTGTATGACAAAAAAAACTGAAACAATAAACTGTGTTAAGACGTTTTGTGTGTGATGTCATTTGAAATAGAAAAATAAATAATGATATCATGAACATGAATCAGTGAACAAACAATATTACAAACTGAACTATCTGTCATAATATTCATCATTCATACACCATATACGTAGAGTAATTGAAAGTCATATGCCTTATACTTCATTCAATGTAATGTTCTTAATATGGTCCTTGATGACTGCACTTTTGTAGAGTTGATGTCCATTCTCTAAGGTAAGTCCTTGTTCAGAAAGATTGCAACAGTACAGAATATGGTGAACAATAATGACATATGTGAATTAAAACATATGAATAAAAGTTCAAATATACGTATAAAGCTGCTGTAGATCATGAATTGTGAAATTATTTCCATTTGTATTTGTGAATATTTACATTCTTTTTTGTGAGAACATGTGCTTTTTCTTTCTGTATCACTACTTCATTTTTTTTTTCGTTCCAATATTTCATTTATCTTACCTATTGTTATATTAGTTAGCCATAATTTCAGTTCTATTTTAAATCTGTTGTCACTTGTAATAGACTTTATTTCAAATGGAACTTCTGCATAAGCAATAGGGCACAAGTTTATGAGAAATCTTTGACTTCGAGATGCGCTTACTTTAGGAATCATTGAGGTTTTTTGCTTAAATCTGGTATTGTACAAGTGATCCACAGACAATAATTTTGTTTCATATTTTCTATGATACATTGCAAGACTTAGAAAATATAAATTTCTACATAGTTTTATAAGAGAGAGGACACTGTTAGATGAAGATCTTCAGATGATGTGGTGCTGCAGGTTTTTCCGGGTTTTCCTGCAGCTGAAAAAGCAAATGCGCCACTGGAATCAATGAAGTCGCCCCGGAGCGCCAAATAATTTTTTTTTGTTATTTTTTTATTCAATGTTCCTTATTAAAAAGAGATATGTTTAGAATATTCATTAAAAAAAGGATGGAAAAAAATATAACCCTAACAATAGTACCACATATGAAAGTATTGCCTAAAGGAAATAAAGGAATTATTGACACTAAACTTGAATGGCTCAAGAAAAACTGAGATGTGAACTTAGGATTCATAGAATTAAAAACTACTTTTGGGGAAAAGTGGAAATGACATATGAGACTACAACAAAAGACATCATCACTAATGACAAGAATTTTGATTGTAATATAGTTGTTTATGGTTTTAAATTATTCTGCTCATTTTTCAAGGCTTCAGGAAGCCTGAAAAGCATCATCTGAATGTTCAAAAAGAAAATGAAGGTTTATAAATCAGCAAAGAAATTAAATAATATGTGATTTCTATGCATCGAAACTGTTTTCAATACTTTTGTGTTAAGAATATCTCTTTCGAATAACTCCAAACAACAGATGAGCTGCCCTGAATACACGGTTAATTAAAAATGATCGAACTTAGTGTTGCATAACGAGCACTATTTACCTACCCGATTTTCTCTATCACTTTCAACTAGGATTGGTTGGAAAACGGAAATGCGGACTTTGATATATTTGACTCACGAACAAAAAGCCTTTTATGTATACCTGGCCAACCTCAGAGGTATGCTTGAATGGGTGAGTGAGCACAATTGTGTTGCTGCAGCCATGTATGATTGTTCACTGGATTGCTGCACGTTGATAAGCTCTTTTATTTACTGTCCGTATTGAAGTCGATGTATTCGAAATACAAAACAGCTTGATTGGAGTATCTTCATGTGAAAAAATCTTGGAATGATTTCAGGTTGAAGACAAATAATTATGACAATATGTTAGAAAACAAAGCCTTCCACCGCGTCTGTCTGTTTATCCATCTGTCGGTCTGAACGTGATCAGTGGAAACGTTGGTTTCCAACAATGGACGGATTGTTCTGAGAGAAAGCATTATGTATACAGTGCATTTCTTTATTGTCCCCACTGTTTTATTTTTTGAACAGGTCAACTCAAAAAATTGAAATTTGGGATGATTAAATTAATGCATGAATACTTTATTTTGAACTGAAACTGACAGATGAAACTTTCAAGATGGCGACTGGACGCCATCATTTTGAAGCTCTTGACGAATACCTCACAAAAACACACTTTCATCTATTTTCCACGATATTTCTTTACTGTTGACTAGTTTCGGCTATTACACCATTTTCAAAATGGTTTTGAAAATGGTGTTTATACCCGATACTAGTCAACAATGAAGAAATATCGTGGAAAATGGTTTTGAAAATGGTATAATAGCCGAAACTAGTCAAAAATAAAGAAATATCGTGGAAAATAGACAAAAATGTGTTTTTGTAGTGTATCCTCAGTGAACATGAATTTCCATTTTTTATCGACCTTTTTTTTGGGTAATTGTTACCTTCCACAATCTGAAAAAATATAAAAATTATAATGGAGAACTTTATACAAGTGTAGAAGGGCAAACTTTTTAGTTTACCCCGATAAGTTACTGCGTAAAAGAACATACAAACAGCTTCACAAATTCAACAACATCCAACTCAACAATTACCGACTTAACATCCACCAACACCTTTTACAACTAACGTTATACCTTACATTCCAAGACTATCTGAAAAAATAAGACGAATTGGAAATAGATATGATGTTAGAACTACTTTATTGAATATGAATTTCCACTAAATAAACAAGTCGTTAATCAAAGAAGTCAAAAAATACCTCACAACCCTAGAATATGAAGTCAATATCTTCACCTACTACAAAAAGGCAAAACATTTGATAATTTCATGTTTCTCGTATCTCGTCAGATCTTCTGTATAAAGAAGGTGAATTTATGGATATGAGACAATTATATTACTATTGTACAAACGTGAAGTATCATTTCAGCAATAATAAAGCATCATCACGAAACCACGACTATAACACACGACATCGCGACCAACTAACATATCCTACTGTTAAAATGTCAATTTCACAAAGAGCATATTCTTCCATGGCAACTATTGTACATACGTGAAGTATCATTTCAGCAAAAATAAAGCGTTATCACGAAACCACGGCTATAACATACGACATCGCGACCAACTAAACATATACTACTGTTAAAAAGTCAATTTCACAAAGAGCATATTTTTCCATGGCTACCAAATTATATAACACCGTACCTCACAAAATAAAAAATTCTTATTCCAAACCAATATTCAAAAAACAAATAACAAAACACATTCTCAAAAAAGATAGACACTTTTAAAAAAATCTGTTAGAGTGAAATAAGTTAGTCTTAGTCAAATTTATTCCAAAGTTGTATCATACTGTATTGTTAGTAGCATAATTTCATCCATATTGTTTAAGATTTTATCCATTTGTATATTAATATTTTATTCTTATAGAAGAAGTAATATTTGTCTAAGGTTTCATCCATTTTTCTTACTTTTTGTTTGTCTAGTATTTAATCGGCCTATTTTACCTCAAGCCTAAATATAATTTGCTTAACTGTAACACCAAATTCACAAAATTCAATAAAATGTTTTGTAGTTACTACTCCATGAAGGCCATACATATTTTTATACAAATATTTATGTACTTACATATTCTTTATAACTTCTTGCGAAACAAGAGCTCTGCTCTTATCGCCAAACCACTTTGTTCACATATTTTGTTTTAATTGTAGTATACGTTGTGAATAAAGTTATTATTATATATTATATTGTTCATCTTTCATAAGTCTATCATAAGTCCGGGACGACATATTTCTATCTTTCAAAGGTAGCTTACTATACGCATATCATTGTTGAAATAATGGTCACATATAATATGGCATTTCAAACGGTATTCATTCTCATCAAATAAAACACATTCTTCACCATAAGCATTTCATGCGCATTATAATTGGCATTTACACCATACAAGTAAAATTTATATCTAGGAGACTTGCTTTCTTCTAATATCATTTTAGAGTCCATCTGCAAAACGTAAAATTTCAGTTCCTTCAGCCAGATTAGAAACTAATCTATATTTCTAATACATGTTCATGTTTGAATTACTGAAAATATCAACGTTAATCGAAACAAAGCGTAATAATCACCACAATATCGAATATATTCTTAAACTAATATCTATTCAATTTTTCGCACATTGATCCAAAGACCTCCAACAGCAGAGATGAGGAAGTAAAGTGGATCAAACTTCAAAGGAAGTTGTGTTTTCCGGTCGACGGTCAGTTGGAAATTCTTAACCAGATGTGCAACTCCAATTTTTATTTGTGTGGTTCCAAAACGTTTACCTGAAACCAAAAATAGACACATCAATGAAGGGGGTATCAAAAAGTTATGAAAGTTTAGACACAGGTTGCTTATATATTGCGTTCCATATTCGGATTCCTTTTGAAATCTTCTGAAACGGATGAATGATACTGTAAATTTCATGTTTCCACTCACCTAAGCATTCCCTTTGTCCTTCACCAAATGGAAAATACGTATACCTGTTATAGTTTTCTTTAGAAGAAAATCTCTCCGGAATAAATTTCTCCGGATCTTTGAAATATTTGGGGTCATTTTGTAATGCACCGACTGGCAAAATGATCGAAGTCCCTGGTTCCACAGTAACGGATATATTTTTGTACTGTGGATCTGTTGGCGTATAAGTGTACCTCTCAGTACACTTCTTGCCTAATTGACTGATGACTGGATACTTGCGTAGGCTTTCTGAAAAACAGAAGAAAAGAAAAAAGTTTTTCGAAATTCCACTTCTCCAATATCGAACAAGAAAAGTGGGAAACTTTCATTTCTCAAATATCATTCGACCACTATTTGTTTGCTGTTTATCAGGTAGCCATATTTGCTGAATGAGAATTTGACTATTTCCCAAATTTTTTGTTCATTGATGTAGAAATCAAATAGCGCCTTCCTCTAGAAAAACTAACCTCTCCCGAAAATATCCAAAGATGAAATTTGAATCATTTCGTATTTGTTAGACAGGATTGTTTTCTGAATGGAGTTGATATCGATGTTGAAACTTTAAGTAACCTCTCGAATAGAGCTTTAAAGCAGTTGAAATCAACTTTAAGACTCGATCAGAGTAGAAAGAATAAGTCTTCGTTATTCAAAGAATTCCACTCAAAATAATACATACACAGAGCCTCATTCATATTGCCCACCTCCTCTGTAATTTTTGTGGAAAACCGCAAAAGTAATTTTTCATCAGAACTACTATCCTAATCAGTACTGATATATATTATTATATATACTTTATTGTCCAAAGGTAATTTTGAATTTTTTGCATGCTATGACGAGTTGTATAGTGATGGGTGGTAACCTCAAGTTTCACAAGATGTTTCCTAATTAAACACACTGTGTACAGAATAAAAAGAGCTACAACCGTAAAAAAAAATTTATCTATAAGCAGCCTGCATGAGTCACGAGGTTTAGCTGTGCACATATATCGTATAGCTCTCTTCTGTAATACAATGACAGACTCCAGCAAATTAAGGCTACACACACCCCAAAAAGGTATACCGCACCTTAAGTGAGACTCTACCAAAGGGTGATATGCTGTTTTCGCAGTAGAAACTCCCAGTTCTTTAGCAATAACTCTCACTGCATAACAGCCAGTGGAAATTTTACTGATGTGAGCGCCAAATTTCAGTCCACCGTCTAGATACAGTCCCAGACATTTAGTACACCCTCTGTTCTCAATGATACCGCTCGCTACAGATAAATTCTGAAGTGAACATTTGGAAGTCTAATATTTGTTTTAGAAATATTAAGGGAGAGTAGATTGGGATCACACCAAGACTTGATTTCTTGTATATCATCAGCTATTGTCTAATTGAGTATATCTATACCTTTACCATGTCACAATATAGTGGTGTCGTCAGTGAAAAGAGTGAATGTTCCAGATATACTTATGTTCTTCAAATCGTTAATATACAACAGGAACAATATGGGACCGAGAGCCGATCCCTGTGGTAAACCAGTATTTATTTCAATACTGTTTGAACATTCAATCGTTTTCACAATCTGACTGCGACCATTGAGATACGACTCAAACCACCGTAGTGTTATGCCTCTACATCCATAGATATTCAGCTTACGTAGCAGTATTTTATGATCAACGCTGTCAAACCCTTTTGTAAGGTCACAAAACACTGCTGCAGCAGCCTCTCCATTAACCATATTGGAATACACCTCAAACAGGAAAGAGAATATTGTATCGTGTGTGGTCTTGTTGCTCTGGAATCCAAATTTGTTTTTCCTTATAATGTTATGGCGAAGGAGAAATTCATCGTTATTTAACAAAAAAAACATGACTTTCCTAACCAAGTTCTCATATTGGTTTGTTTTAAAAAATTTGTTCGTTTTGATGTCATCTGTTTTTGTAGCTCCATATTTCAATAAATATTAATTCTACTATCATACATACTGATCGATGAAGAATCGTGTACACAATTTTTATGTTGACGTAATAAGTCGACTCGTGTTACGTTGACGAAAGTACAATGATCCAAATCGCGCTTATTTTGATTAAATTGAATTAATATCTACTGAGATATTGCAGTTCAAAGTGGAATCATAAAAATGGACAAAACTTTTGAAACAACCCAATACAACGAGACAAAGAATTTAATAAATTGATGGATGTAGCCGTTACTACGTGGTAGGATATCATGATGGAAAGAAAAATGAATATTTCTATGTTTTTTATCACTTTTATTTGTAACTAACGTTACTGCAGTTTCGTCCTATATGGACATTCTCAAACTTATACAATAAATTGACAATGATTCATTACATTTGCTAATATATACCATTCAAGTACTTGATTGAGTACCTGAATTTACAGTTCACAATGCGCATGTGCCAATTTAAAAACCGGAGAGTAAATTAAATCGATTTGGTCATTTAACAGGTTGCACCCGCTATGTTTATGCTTGTGAATTTCCAAGGATTCTAAATAATTGAGTTTGCAACCCTTCCTTGCATAGTGCAGATACTATCCAGAAGTTAGTCAGGAAACAAAGCCGGAAATTCACTTGCAGATTAATATATCCTCAGGTCAAACAACCAGAAATCAAGAAATGGGTAACGCTAACATATTTTGGAAAAAGAACAGAAATAATCGCAGGTTTTTTCAGAAAAAACAATGTGGAAGTAGCATTCAGACCACATGCCAGGTTATCTCATTTCCTTTTCAATGTCAAAGATAAGGTCGACAAGTTGGAAAAATCTGGAGTTTATAAGCTTAAGTGTCCGGAGTGTAATAGTGTTTATGTGGGACAATACGGACGAAATTTCCAAAAACGGTATGCTGAACATGAAAGGTCCTTCAGACTAGGAAAATATGATTCGACGTTTTCCAACCATTCCTTGGTATGCAACCACAAATTTCCGAATCCAAACGATACGGAAATTCTGCACTATGCAAGGAAGGGTTGCAAACTCAATTATTTAGAATAATTGAAAATTCACAAGCATAAACATTGCCGGTGCAACCTGTTAAATGACGAAATCGATTTAATTCAGTCTCCGGTTTTTAAATTGGCACATCCGCATTGTTCACTGTAAATTCAGGTACTCAATCAAGTACCTGAATGGTATATATTGGCGAATGTAATGAATCATTCTTAGTTTATTGTAATAAGTTTGAGAATGTCTATATAGGACAAAACTGCAGTAACGTTAGTTACAAATAAAAGTGGTGAAAACATAGAAATTTTCTTTTCTCTTCTCGTAGAATTTAATATTTCCTCACCTCGTAAACACATATCCAAATACACCATATCCTGTATGCACTCGTATGTCAATTCTCCATCAGTTTTCTTGAGACATTCGTTTATTTCTTCTCTCAATTTCTGCTGCACTTCAGGGTTCATTGCTATTTCAAAAATCAGGAAACTCATAACCTAAAAATGAAAAATATCCACTTCGAACAAAAATTTAATGTTGTTAAAACACTCTGGAACTCACCCTGGAACTGGTTTCGAATCCATCTCCAAAGAAACTAGCTGCATGGGCTGCAATGTCAACTTCTGTGAAGAATTCTGTGGTTTTTGACAGTTGTATTATCGAGTCCAAGAAATCGTTCCTTACTATATTGTGTTTTTTGCGATATTCCATGGTAGACGTCACTAACGTAATCAATTTATCGTGCACCTCTCGGGAGATGAGCCTGCAACACAATATTTCCTGGAAATAACTGTGTTTGAGATATTTTGCCAAACTTATATGTAGCAGTCGACGTTTATTGAATACTAGTTGTTGCCCTCGTCTTGACTGTATAGATCACGGAATACTGCTGAAAAAACTCTATCACTATGGCATTCGTGGAGTTACTCATAAATGGTTTGATAATTATCTCACAAAATAAAATCATCAGAAGGCGGAATAAAAATGGCGTACCACAAGGTTCAATACTGAGACCGATACTTTCCTTATTATATATAAACGTTTCAACATATGTCGGTATAGAAGGAAAATTTACCCTATTAGCCGATGATACCACAATATTATGGCGTAATGAATCTTTATGTAATCTCCACGAGTTTATAAGCTGGTGCGACTCGAATCTGTCATTTGATGTTTTCAAGACCAACATTCCGCTCCTTTATGAACAGCATACCATTAACAAATGAAGCAAACAGATAAAATGTATGTCTATATTTGTGCATATATATCTTTAATCTGTATTACAGTTATTTCAATATGATTGGTACTCTATATGTATGTATATGTGGATATATACATGTATACATGGTTGTATAGTGACTGAAGGGAATTTGCAGCTTTGTCAATAAGACCTGATGTTTTTTGAACAACAAAGCATATTATAAAATTATTTCCCAACAATTCTTCTGATGATTCCCCAGTTTTCTCCAGCGATAAAAATGCATCCCGTAAGAAAATTTGGTTTTTTTCATACAACGGGTTCGATTTGACGACGGTTTGATTGAGCTTGCCAATCATCTTATCTAACGCTGTTTCTTCGATCATAATCACTAATATCTATCACATTTTGATTTTTGCTGAATTATTTTTAGTAATTTTCACTCCTAAAAACTCTAGGTTATCTACCAGTACATCATATATAGTATGACTTTCACTTTGAATCACCTCAGTTGAAACATACGATGATCTGTGCTTCAACCTCTTCCACTATTCCTTCAGTGTTTGAAGATAGGTTAATTTGATCACTTTTTCGATATTTTCTCCTATTTTTGCTGCTGAATCGACTTTGGTATAGTTTATGTGAACATTTTTGTCTATACATTTATTTAGTTATACACTGTTCTACAGGTGACACCAAACTAAAGAACAGGGATATAAGTCAGTAATATACAAGATTTTCATCGCTTCTAATTCTTTGGTATTCATTTCATTTACTTCCTAGGATATTCCGAAGTATCTCTGGTATTAGAGATAGCAATGATGAGGCGATAAAACCACTGCAGATGTCATCTCCTCTACTGATGAAACATTAAAGCTAGCTGCAACCCCAAATTGTCGATGATGGCAAACATTGACTGTCTTGTCATCAAATGACAAGGGCTTTGCAATCTATTTGGAATGGTATTATCGCTGCTGGTGAAATTATCAAAATCAAAATCGGTGTACTTTGCCCAAGAAAGGGTACTGTGAATATGTTGGCATTTTTTTCAACCTGTTTGTTCCGTTTTCTGATCTGTTCGTTGATATTTTCCAGCTCTTCCTATCCTCTTATCCGGACGCATAATGTCTGCGTATTTCATTAGATCATTTCTTGACATCATTTTCAACTATTATGACTTTATCTTGATTTTTCAATCTTTTCAATCTGTTCTTATAATTTCCCATCGCTAGTAACCCAGATTATCTTTCATTTCTGATTTTTGATGGTTTCGGGAACATCCCTCAGTTTTCTTTTCTGTCTGTTCCCATTTTTATGTTCGAAGTTGAGAAAGTCTTTGAGGAAGATGAGTTTGAGGTTGGGAAAGCATTCGCAGGAGTGATAACTAAAAATACAATCACTTTTCTGAAAAATGTACTAGAATTCATGCAGTACAGATGAAAAAAACTGCAAATGATTCAAAATTGCCATCAACTGTCTAGTATACTCACCTAACTTTGATAAAAAAGAATAACGAAGGTGCTACCGAGAGCAGTGTGAATTTAATTTTCTGCCATAGACTTTGTGAATCGAAAAATTCATCAGCTAACTGTTTGAATTTTGAACACTGCTCATCGAAACATTTTCCTTCGATGCCAAATGCGCAGTAGGCAACGTTTTCCAATGTGAATCTTACGCATAGTTCTCTTGCTTCGAGACATGTACAATTTTTCGTTTCATCCTCTACATATTTCATCATCCTAATGGCAGATTTTTCCAATAATGGAAACATTCCTTTCATCTGAAATTAAGATTCATTAGGCAGGCTTGAAAATTTAAGGGCTAACATATAGATAGCGCTAGTAGTATTGAATCCATATGATTTTCAGTTAATTGTAACCTTCAATAAACAAGTGTACAAGTTTCACATCTCTCGGATCATCAATTTGTGGGAGAGAACATTCTGAGTGGGGCAACTTTTGTTGTTTTGAAGAAAATGGATACACAAGAGTTATGTATGTATGATTTTCAGTTAATTCTAACCTTCAATAAACAAGTGTACAAGTTTCACATCTCTCGGATCATCAATTTGTGGGAGAGAACATTCTGAGTGGGGCAACTTTTGTTGTTTTGAAGAAAATGGATACACAAGAGTTATGTATGTTGATGAAGCATTGCTTTTTGGCAAAAGAAACTTCCTCGAATTTCATTGTTTAAGAACTTTTTCATCTGTAGAACTGCTTTTATGTGGAATAAACTTCCTGAGAACGTTCTGCCAAATGTATTTAATCTCCAGCGATCCAAATCCAATGTGAATCGCTGCTTTCGCACAGACACCGCTCTGAGAGTGTCTTCAAGGATTTTTCTGTAGTACTTGTATTTCATCCTCAGCGAAGTTCATAGACCAAAACAAATAACCGTGTATATATTCCCTCGTGACATGTAAGTTGGAATTCCAACTTACATGAAAATCTCAATTACATAACTCAAGCTTGGCGGAAATATTGAAGCGTTTATTCTTACTTGCCTGGCTTCCGTTCAATTGCTTAGCTTCAAACACGTGAGTACTTGGACTATAATATTTACGTATATAAAAAGGGTGAGATGCAATTTGTTACCTTTCTTATATAATCGCATAGACACGACGACCAATAAGACAAATATTATAACATCCTCTCTCTCTCTCTCTTCATAGAAATTTCAGATCATGTGCATATCACAGAAAACGACCTCATTTCAAGATAAAGAAATTGTTGTTCCATCAACACAGTGCACCGTGTCACAAATCAATGGAAACGATAGCAAAGTTGTATGAATTGAGCTCTGAATTGCTTCCTCATCCACCGTATTCTCCTGATCTACCCCCTAGTGACTTTCTCTTGTTCTCAGACCTCAAGAGAATGCTCGCTGGAAAACAATTGCGCCGATGAATAGGTGATTGTTGAAACTGAGACCCATTCTGAGGCTAAAGACAAATCGAACTACAAAAATGGTATCGAAAAATAGTATGACCGCTATAATCAGAGTATCGCTCTCGTAAGCAATTACCGAATAACAAAATCAAGTTTTATTTAATTTTTCTTATGTTTACCTACGAAATAGTCCGCCCAACAGGTATGATATAAATGATAAATAATAAATATATATGAAGAAATACGAAAATTCAGATTACGTCACTCCACAGTCTTGTCTAGCTTTTCGACAAATCTCTTTTTTTAAATTCTTCATTTCACTCATACTGAAACCAGACCTTTCAAATTCTGTTTAGAAAATCATGATTATACCTTTCCAGAAGTGAAACATGGTGTCAGCTGTTGACGAGTGGTTTTCCATTCTGCTCCTTTCAGCACAAAAGGATTTCTTCCAAAAATAGGATCAATTTCCTTGTCAACTTCAAGGTCATTATTTTGAAAATATTTGAAGTCTCTCAAAAATATATTTTTGATGAAATCCGGATCTCTCACCAGGAGACAGGGGGTTGTGAATCTGTACAACCCTACGAATGAATGTCCTTCATAGTTTCTGAAACAGACGAAATTTACTTAATTATGGAGTTATTGAATGGGAAGTACTTCTTTGAAAAAACGTGATAGCTTTAGGATTAAAAAAAAATATATTTTCAACAGGGGTACCCAGTTACAGTTATAAGGAATTGATTCAAATGATTCATAAACAGCAAAATTCAAACCCCAGAAGTTCTGTAAAACCTGTGATTTAAATATTTCAGTACTCGAAAAAACTGATTTTCCTGATCAACTATCAATGTTAAAATTCATTTCACAATCGAAATATTTTTCGAAGGAATGTTTTGTTCATTTGCCTAATAAGTAATATGATATATTAAACATTGGTAACCATGAAAAATTGATGTGAATAATTCAAAAATTTAGGAAAATGTATCAACCTCGACTACATTGCTGTAGAGTTCGACCAATTTTTGACAAATTATGTTCTGATGAATGACATTTTCTACAACCAATCTGTTATCTAATTTTTCATGTGCATGTACAACAAATTTGTTTCAATTTTTGTTACAATGAATTGTACAATAGAAAATTATCAGTATTATGTTGAAATTTTTGTTATTGTTCTGCACTCCATGGTGTTGTTAGAGTAGAAGCAGCAGAGAGAGGCAGAAAGAGATTCCTACACAACATTTATGTCTCGCACCGAAAACCATTGTAGAAATGTCTTGCTAATATTAGTCATCTCTTCCTGCTATATTTATTATACAGTGGGAACGTAATTAGCCCCACTCTCCCTTTCAACTCTTGAACGAAATCAAATATCAAGGTCGAAAAAAGTTCGCTGGGAGGAAGCTTTCTATTTTTTTTTCGAATATGAAGGCGGCTGTAGTTTCGATAGGTATTTCAAATCTCTAACAAACATTTTTCAGTTTTGAAAATTCACAAATAAACAATAAATATCATAATTAACAAAAAATGTTTCAACTCATCTTGATTCATTCCGGTGAATGTTCAAATTGGTCATCATCAACTTCCTGACAATAATGAAGTTTGTTCACAAATTCATTATGAAATGTTTCTGAAGTAATTTCGTTAGAAGCATCTCTTATTCTGAACATGAGACACCCTCACAAAAAAATGTATATCAGGTAATGCAGCGGGTCATTCTAAGGGACCACGTCTGCCTATCGACTTCCAAACATGCTCATCGTGATGAAAAGGTACTCCATCTGCTGAAACCTAATATATTTTGAAAACACATTCAGATTTGACAATTTTCCAAGCTGGAAGACAGGCAAACGTGATCACGCAGAAAAGCCCACTAGATCACCTGATATGACACCTCTAGATGTTCCTAGATTTCTAGCAATGAAAACATTTTCAATATGGAATCCAAATACCCATCAAACGAGTTACCACAAAGCCACCTTTCTAGTTGAAAAAAAAAAGTTGGTAGTGCTCTCTCTGCTACAAAACTACCAAAAATGGTACCTTGTTCCACACTGTGAAGAGTTCAAAATGATTCGCAAAATCTCGGGTGTATTTTCACCTACTTTAACTAAGGATTGAACCTCACCTGTAAATTTCTTCGTAAATATCTCCCTGTGAGACTTTTCCAGTCAGGATTTTTCCTAAATTTCCCAATATTGGAACGGGTTCAGGTCCAGGAACCCCCAATCTTTTCCAGTAGCTATAATGTCGGCGCACTAAAAATAATATGAGGCCTATTATGGCCACCAGAAGTATCAAAAACATGTTTACTATTTGACCTCTACTCTATCAATGAAGGACCCTGTGAATCTAATATAGTTAATTTATTTCAATTGACTAATGACCGGGATTGCTAGCGGTTAGTTATATTAAACTTATGATGCACTATTTGGAACCTTCGGTGTAGTAATGGATATTACTGGAGTTTTTCCCACCACCAAATCGTTACCTATTTTTAAAATTAATTCAGGTGTGGTATACCTGTATGTGTGGTATATCTGTATGGTATACCTGTATAGCATAAATAGGGTTAGCTTCGCAAAGTTTCCAGTTTAATTTTCCTTTTGAAGATGTCAAGGTGTTGAAAATAACGATTTTTTCAAAAACTACACCTCACGATTTGATCAAATCGTGAGGTGTAGTTTTTGAAATTACTAGGGATCTTCATCAAGAAAGGGCCGAATCAATCTGAAAATTAAAAATAACGATTTGGTGGTGGGAAAAAAATCCAGTAATATTCAACTCCAAACTGTAATATCCCACTGAATACTTATTCAAATCGATCGAAATAATCGCCATTTGACTCAGTGCACTTTTGCCAACGTAACACAAGTCGATCACTTCCTTTGGCATAAAAATTGTGTGCTCGGGTTTTGATGAAGTTGACGAAGGCCGTTTCTGCCTGTTCCTGATTGGCGAAGGTTCTATCGGTGAGAAAAATATCGAAGTGCTTGAAAAACCAATACAGAGAAATAATGCTGCTACGAACTAGTACATGTGAACTGAAGAATTGGCGGTTCGTATTGTATAATTTTTACTAACCAAGTTTAATGATTGGCTGAAGAGTCATAAAATCAAATTTGAGGTCATGTTACGGTGACGGATAGAATGCGAGGATGTTTATACACTTCGTGTTGTCAATGTTCAGTTCAGGAACTGATCGCGATTTGAGTGTTGAAATTCTATATTGGTGCAGTTAAAATTACTTAAAATTTTTGTTATCTGCTTGAAATGTGGCGTCCTTGGACAAGTCCTAGTAGTAATAACGAGTGTGATAACAACGCAGAGTTTTTCCTGTGTAGTGATTCCAATAGCGATGATGAAAAATGCGAAAAAGAGATACCAGTGAATGAGATTCGGATGCATTTGAATATTGAAACACACAGAGTATGTTTCAATGTATATCAGAATGTACATCTCAAGTTTGGTTTCGAGGGAAACAAACTAATCGATTGAAGACAAAATGAGAAAAACCAAGAAAGTACTTGATAGAAATAGCTGCGTAAACGCAAGCGAAACATAAGTGGAACCACCTATTGGTGTGACACCCAAGGCAACTTGCCAACTTGCTGGAATTATTTTCCAGCAGCTTGACTGCATTAACCTTTCCAGGACTCCGCTTTACTTTGCCAAGCTTTCGCTTCTAATGGCAAGCTCCTTCAGGGCCTATAATTTATTGAGTTGTGGATTTTTTGCCAATAAATAACATAACAAATCATACTTACAGTAAAAATGAGTGAAAAACAATGAATTGAACATAAAATTGATGAAAAAAAGTTAAACATGTATGGATTATTTGGATTTGACAAATGTCATACCTTCACATAAATGTCATTTTTCAATAAGCACGATGATTTGATAATCTTTGACTCTAAAAAGAGTTGATTGATACAATTTTCATTATTATCAATATATTTTTTGTGTAGTTCACTGTATATACTGCTGAGATTATCAATGTCAGTTTTCTTATTCATACAATCAGAAGACTCATTAATTTCAACCATTTCAAGAAAAAGGCGTTTGGATTTTTTTTGTATGCAAAACTTTGATATTAGAGTAATTTGGTTTATATCCTGTTCCTATAGAATGTTGCGCTAATGCACATGATTTCTTTTTAAGCTTCATATCACTTTTATGTGAAGTTATTCTATCTTTGAGAATTCTAGATCCGTTAATCCATTTTACTGTACTATATATTTTTTTATATTGAATTATAGTCCATTTTATCAACTGAAAGAAATACATCTAAAAGACTGTTTTCGGAAATGTCATTTATAATACAATCCAATAATTGCTTTAATAAAAGATCAGACATTGATCACCTCAGTGAAATCTATGCCTTTTTTTAGATATTGACAAAGATCTACATGATTTCCAAACCAACAGTAATTCTGGTTTTTCATTAATATAATTTCATAACATTTCAAATATTTTCTCTTTTAACAAACTTCCAATCTCTCTATGGCAGGGTTTAATTTTCATTTAACAACACCTTTTGTTTTCCTCAAGACTAATGAGGATGTTGTCAATTAATTAACATATTTAATTTTTGGGTTTTTCTCATTGGGTTACTTAAAGAACAGCAGATGTCTCTGATCACACTTGCACCGAATAGTTCCCTTTTGTTCCATAGTTTTATCATCTACAAACAAACACACCTTTTCAAACTGAATTACATGTTAGCTGACATTGTCAATTGTTTTGTGTCTCTGTCTTTGTTCTTCAACCACATGGCTTTTACCGGTAATCCATATTTCAAAACGAATAACGATTTTTAGTGAATTTTAATTGAATATTCTTCTTTGTATCCAGTGAGATGTCAACCTCTTTCAATTTAATGACTTGTTTATTCTTTTCAAAAAAAATCTGCCAACCGCACATTTGTGGTTTCAGTTGATAGATCTTGTGTTTACAAAATCTTTCAGCTCCTGCTGGTGGCTCCGTGCATTTGTATTTCTATCTTTTGGTAACCAAGTGTTGCCCATCCTTACACTTGGCTGCACCATACTGATGATGGGCCAAAAGCCCGAAACACGTGTCTATGGTTTGCCACTTTCTTGAGTGCTATGTCCGATTAATAACTTCTATTTCTATAAAACGAAATATTTATTATATGAATAGCATCAGCAAAAAAAAACAGAAAGGATTTGAATGAAATACATTAGTAATCCTAGTCCTACTATTTATGAATGCATACATTTTGTGAGGATGAAGTAAATATTTACGTTTTTTACTTTTTCACGCCTTAACAGCTCAACGGATTCAAATGTATGTTGGTTTAACACAAAGGATAGGTTCCCATGGTAACGCGGTTGAAACAGCGGAGAACAGCTAGTACTGAAAGGAAAAACCCTATACAAAATGAAATATTATCACTTGATATTTTATTTCTAATTCCATGAATCTGAAAGACATATAACTTGAACAAATTACGATAATAATGGTTAAATGTCCATTTTCAAAAGTACGATGCGAGTATTCAAAAGCCAGTGCTTGTATAACGGGTGAGTAGCGGCATTTCAATTACTGGTGATTCGTCAATGTCCAGAACGTTCATAGGCATATTTCCAAATATCTCCGAAGCAAACAGATGAATGAAACCTGTAGAACATCATAAGAGGAAGACACGTGTGTCCCAGAATCGTCCACAATTCCTTTCCGTAGAATTCGTATCTCTGGTCTTTCAACCAATAAGCTTTAACTTCGAAGGTTTCCATCAACCAAAGAGCGATATTGGAAATGACCAGAAAAGTTACTAGCTCTCTGCCGGGTTTATTTTTCCTCAGTTTTCTTGTATTGCTCGAGCGTCTCAAACCATCCAGAATGAAGACTGTTTGACTGAGCACTTGAAAACTCTAGAAAGAAAAGGTTATCTACAATGTTTCATAATATTTACTGAATGCAAATCAAATACCAATCACCAATTCAATAAAAATTTCAATTCCTTATCTGGTTGCTAGTTGTTTGTTTACTTGTTAATTCACATCCAAAGTGATTACATATTATCATATATAATATTGAGTAAATGAAAACAAAATAATGTGAACAGTTAGAGAATATAAAATAAAAATGAATTAAGGCAAAGTTCAAACATATACGCAACAGATTCAGAATAGTCTTTACCACCATTTCAATTGAAATATTACAAAATAAGCGCATTGAAGACAACATAATATCCTTAGCACCGTGAACTATAGTGAAATCACAGCATATACAACTTGTTTTTAGAGCACATACATATAGGAGCATAGCCTCACAGGAAATACTGTCAACTCTATTCTCTTCGTGGAAAAAACTCAAACTCAAACTCCTACCAAAGTTCAACTTTATACAAAATATCAAAATCCCACAGTAAGCACTTACGTCAATTTAGGGTATGTATCAGGTGGCTGAAAATCCATATGATTTTGATTCAATCCTAGCGTTCAAAAGACATGTGTACAAATATAATAGCTTAGGGGCTATTAGTGGATAGAAATGGATAAAAAGAAATTTCGTGTGTTAATAAAGCATTGCTCATTATTGAAATAAATAGTGTTGAAGCCGAGGCTTCGTTTGATAAACATCATTTGAACTTTGCACCAGGAGAATCAACCGTTGAGCAAAGTGGATGCAAAGACGTTCTAGTCGGCTGGCAAGGTAATGGTATCAGTATTTCGAGATACACGTGGAATAATATTCATTAATTACATTAAAAAAAAATCATCGCCAGCGACTATTACATGGCATTATTGGAGTGTTTGAAGAAAGAAATCGCGGAAAAACGGCCCCATTTGAAGAGGAAGGAAGTGCTGTTCCATCAAGACAACGTACCTTGTCACAAATCATTGATAACGATGGCAAACTTGCATGAATTATGCTCCAACTTTCTTTCGCATCCACCGTATTCTACAGATCTGGCCCCCAGAGATTTTTTTCTACTTTCAGACCTAAAGAGAAGGCTCGCTACCCCAATGAATAGGTAATCGTCGAAACTGAGGCCTATTTTGGGATTAAGGAGGATTCATTTCGCCGTCATTGGCCACTATATTGAATAATAAAATCAAATTTCATCGAAAAAAAAAGTATATATATGTGTAATTATGTACGCATGCAGAGAGTTTTACTTCTTTGGTGTAACAAGGTTTGGGAAAGAAAGTTTTTGGCTTTCTACTACTCCATCTCGATACAAAAAAATGAGGGAATCTTCCAAAGAAAGGAAGGAAGTAATCAATTTCAAAATAAGTAACTCTATACATGGATGTGTAGATCATGCAAAGAAGTAACTTTCAGACACATAGCTGTTTCAGGAGGACTTTCTTTCAGTTTGTGTCTGAAAGTTACTTCTTTGCATGATCTACACATCCATGTATAGAGTTACTTCCTTCCTTTCTTTGGAAGACTCCCTCATCCTTCTTCTTTTTTTGTATCAAGATGGAGTAGTAGAAAGCCAAAAAATTTCTTTTCCAAAAATTAATCACTCCTAAAAAATATAACCCCTTCAATTCATGTTCTGGAATGTTTTGTTTTGGATCTACAATTTATTTAGAGGTCTCACCTTCATGCATACCTTAAAACGCACGCCATTTTTTTGTGTTAGTTATTATACTCACCTCAACTATCAGACCAACGTATCCCAATACATTTCCATTGATTATTGCAGGAATTATACTGAATATCCCGTTCAGAAAGAAAGCTGGAATGCAAATGAACAGCAGTACGTCGTCCAACAGATTATGATGTGACGAGTTCAGATCTAGTTTTGTTATTTGACGGTAGCCAATAATGCAGGCAAAAATCATGGTCGCCAAGATGACGAGTGACGCTGATGAGTTGATCATTAGACCCATTTCGGTTTTTTTCCTGGAATTACAAATACATTTTGAACGATGAGATTTTTTCTTTCATTTTGTAATTATCGAGATTAACTTCTATGCATGATCTTCACATATTTTGTAGAGTTTATTTCGAATTCAATTGTTTTCTTTCCCCCTTCAAAATCTTCCCGCAGTTTATTTATGAAGTATAAAGAAAATATATCTCTCAATGTGGAAGTCAAAAGTTTTTACATATTCTCGGTATCACCGAGTATGCAAACCTCCTCGCGACAAATTTCAGATATCTCCAGGAGGGTTATATGAGCTGAAGCATGATATCGATGATCTCATCTTCTACTGTTGGTTCCCAAGAACAACTGATGATATTGAACTGAACTCATTCAACTATCTAGTCTTACATTCCATTTATAAAAGATCAGGGGAATGTCCAGCAACAAAATCTGAAATTCACTCCAAATGGAGAAAACAATGAATTGTACAAAATTCTTCGATCGGCATCTTCAAACTCTTGGCTGCAAGTCTTTGACCAAATCAAT